GAGACAACAGAGTTCTGCCACGCCATGTGGGTATCTCGCTGGCCAGCTGGGATCGAACCAGCGCTGTTGAGGCTGAGGACAGTTTCACAGTGCTGTGCTCAACCACCTGCACTACCAGGGGAGGCCCGGAAATAAACTTTATCCAATTATATTTTTCACACAAATGTGAAATTTTATATTTTCACACTGTTATATTCATAAAGCCTCTGTAAACCTGGTGATTACTATTCGCTCTTACCACTAAGGAGTTATTTCCATCTATCAAACTGGGATCTTTAGGCACTTAAAAGTCATTAAAAATTCAAACAGGGCCTCCCAGGTGGCGAAAGGGGTTAAGTACTGCCTATGAAGCAATCCACAGCCTCTACAGCACGAGTTCAATCCCTGGCTGGCCAGGGAGCAACCCACATGGCGAGGCAGACCTCTCCTGTCTCTCTGGCTGCTCCCCTCAGCAGTGTATTTCAATCAATCTGCCTGTTCTGTTCGCCACTGTCTCTGGTGGATCCACTCACCCCCCATATCTCTGTCCTGTGCCCCAGCTCTTGTATGCATAAATAAATAAATCTTTAAAAAAAAATTCAAACAACTACCAGTGTATACCTAGATTTACTGTGGGAGAGTTTAGAGAGATCTATAGGTCATTCATGTAAGATTATTTTAACTGTACTAAAATTTCCCACAAAAAAAAGATAAAATATCTTTTGAAGAAATATAAAAGCCATATGATAATATCAACAGATGCTCAGAAAGCTTTCAATAAAGTGCAACACCCATTCATGATAAAAGCCCTTGAAATTCTTGGGATACAAGGAACGTACCTCAACATCATAAAGGCCATCTATGACAAGCCAACAGCCAGTTTCATTCTCAATGATGAAAAGCTAAAAGCATTTCCACTAAGATCTGGAACAAGACAAGGATGTCCACTCTCACCACTGCTTTTCAATATAATACTGGAAGTCCTAGCCAGAGCAATAAGACAAGAGAAAGACATCCAAGGAATCCAAATAGGAAAAGAAGAAGTCAAACTATCACTATTTGCAGATGATATGATAATATACATAGAGAACCCCAAAAACTCCACAGAAAAACTAATTCAACTCATCAATCAGTTCAGTAAAGTGGCAGGATACAAAATCAACATGCCTTCCTATACACAAACAATAAATCTGAAGAAGAAACCAAAAAAAAAATCCCTTTTAATATTGAACCAAAAAAAAAATCAAATACTTGGGAATAAATCTAAGAAAAGGGGTAAAGGACCTATACAAAGAAAACTATAAAACACTGTTAAAAGAAATAGAAGAAGACACAAAGAAATGGAAAGACATCCCCTGCTCATGGATTGGAAGAATAAACATTATTAAAATGGCCATCCTACCAAAAGCAATATACAGATTCAATGCTATTCCAATCAAAATTTCAATGACATTCTTCAAAGAAATAGAACAATTATTGATGAAATTCATATAAAATCACCAAAAACCCCGAATAGCCAAAGCTCTCCTGAGAAAAAAAGAAGGGAATGGAGGCATCACACTCCCAGATTTCAAACTGTACTACAAAGCCATAATCATCAAAACTGCATGGTATTGGAACAAGAACAGACACACAGACCAATGGAATAGAATAGAAAATCCAGAAATAAACCCACAGATTTATGGTCAACTAATCTTCGACAAAGGAGCAAAGACTATGCATTGGAGCAAAGAAAGTTTGTTCAATAAATGGTGCTGGGAAAACTGGATCGCTACATGCAAAAGAATGAAGCTTGACCACTACCTCAGACCATACACAAAAATCAACTCAAAATGGATTAAAGAACTAGACATAAGACCTGAAACCATAAAATACATAGAAGGAAATATAGGCGAAACACTACGTGATATGCACATCAAAGACATCTTTACAGACACATCACCCAAAGCAGTGATAGTGAAGGCAAAGATAAACAGCTGGGACTACATCAAATTAAAGAGCTTCTGCACAGCAAAAGAGACAATAACAAAAAAAAGAGAAACCCCACCTACTGGCAGAACATTTTTGCACACAACACTAATGATAAAGGACTGATCACAAAAATCTGCAGAGTTGATGAGACTCAACAAAAACAAAGAAAATAATCCAGTCAAAAAATGGGCAGAAGAGCTAAAAAGAAACTTCTCTGAAGAGGAAATGCAAATGGCCAACAGACATATGAAAAAATGTTCAACATCACTTGTAGTCAGGGAAATGCAAATCAAAACTACCATGAGATACCATCTTACACCAGTGAGAATGGCACATATTAAAAAAACTAGCAACAACAAATGTTGGGGAGGGTGTGGAGAGAAAGGAACTCTCCTGCACTGTTGGTGGGAGTGCAAACTGGTCCAACCACTGTGGAGAGCTGTGTGGAGATTTCTGGACCTACTAAACATAGAGCTTCCATATGATCCAGCAATTCCACTCCTAGGTATTTACCCAAAGGACACAGAAACATCAGTTCCAAAAAGCACCTGCACCCCTATGTTTATAGCAGCACTGTTTACAATAGCTAAGCTTTGGAAACAACTCAAATGCCCAAAAATAGATGACTGGATCAAGAAGATGTGGTACATATACACCATGGAATATTACTCAGCATTCAAAAAAGATAAACACATGTAATTTGCAGCAACCTGGATGGCGCTGAAAGGGATCATGCTCAGCGAAATAAGCCAGAAAGAAAAAGAAAAATACCGATGGTCTCACTCATAGCAGGAATCTAGAAAAGTTAAATAAGGGACCAGGAAAATGAATAACTATAAGAAAGTGAAAATCAAAATCAACAAAAAACTATGAACCAGAGACACTCTATGGGGGGTGGGGGGCGGGGAGGGGAGGGATTGGGGTCAAAATAAGGGGGCTGCAACTGTATGGGGAATATAAAAATAAAATTTATTTAAAAAATTAAAAAAATAAAATTGTATATGAAATGGCAAAAAAAAAACATCTTTTGAGAATTAAAAAAAATAAAATTTATTATTCTCTTAAGACTGCATTATATGCCATTTATTTACTAGCATATAATCACAAACTTCCAAGGGTATAGTTTAATGTGCTTATTTTGGCAGCACATATACCAAGGGTACAGTTTATTTATTTTTTTGCTTTTTTTTTCTCTGTGGTCACCTTTTTATTTTTTTGTATTAATTTTTTACATCATTGTTCATTTTTAAACAATATTTTCATCAATATTTTTACACCCCCTCAGGTGTAGTCCCCATAGAGTTTCCTTCACCAATGCAAAGGGTACAGTTTAAATTCCGCTGTGATCATGCATTTTATTGAATGGTCAGAAAGGAGATATCAAGAGTAAATTCACCAAGTCAACCTTTGCAGAAACAAGATGTGCCTAAGTGTCTCTTTAGTTTCTTTAAGGAAACAAGCAATTACACATAACTCATTCCTACTCATACTTGACATGTAATGTAATTCACAAATCTCTTTCTTCATAGCGAGCACAGAAAACAGTCAAGTGTGAAGGCTATTAATGCATCTAGTTTCTTTTACCCCATCATTAATTAAAAAGTGAAATATCTGGGGGAGGAGGAGAAAAATAAAAAAAAAAGTAAATGAAATATCTGGGAGTATAAAAACTACAATGTTCTAGTTAAATAGTCAGAGATAGTATGTTAGATCTTATTGAAAACCTCATCCTTACTAATTGCAAAAATTTTCAGATAAAATAAGAACACCTGCTCTTTCACAGTCTCCCAAAAATGTCCCATACATCAATCTTTAAAAAAAAGTCACAATGCTTTTGACTGATGTAAGTTTGCACTAAGTCTGCAATTTCCTAAGGGCTGCACAGAACCTAGCAGAAATAAGACAGGAAGTGAACTCATTCTGAGCAGTGCAGGAGACTGGAGCAGGAGTGAAGATTAGAGGAGAGGAATGGCATAATTAGAGCTCAAAGTCAAAGTGGTACTTTAAAAAAAATTCGAAAAGGCTTTTGGGGGGTGGGTTAGGGCAGAGTGTAAGTAATGTACTGAGACCACTGCCTCCATTAAGGGACTACAATATTATAAATGAAGGCTCTCAAAACAAGCTCACAGAGATGTACGTTCTTCCAACTATGCTCTGTAATAATGACTGTATTGATTTACAGTACATTAACACAAACAAATAGGTAAAATAATAAGGAATCAATAAAATTTGATTTAAAAATCCTCAATTCTAAAACCCCAAACAACTGTTGGAGAAAGGGCAAGAACAAATGACTGCCGAACTACATGCCCTGGAAATCCATGTCTCCTCAATTCCTTCTCCCCACACTTAAAATCACGAGTCTCCCTAATATCAAACACTGAGAATCACAACCAAAGATGCAAGTGTGCAATCTCAGCAAGACTGATCATCATACTCACCAGAAACTAATCTTTCTAGTGTTCAATGTGTGTGTGTGCGCACTGAATGGAGGAAGGTAGGGGGTCCACGTTAAATAACAGCTAACAAAGTCCAAGGAAGCAACTCTGCCAGGAGACAGGTAGAGTAAGAATTTTACAAAGCAGAGCTGGCTATATTTGGAAGCACTTTGCCAGGCTTTACACCAAGCCAACTTGGCAGGTAGTCTACTCCCTTCAGGGAAATAACAATATGAAGCAACTTTGAGAAAGTCTTCACTCAGAGATACATATGGCTCCTATCTACAGCACTGGAAGTCACCAGCAGATATCTCAGCAGAGAGCTAGGCTCTGAATTTAATCATTAGGCTTACCTTTCCATCTCCTAACACAGAAATATAGGAGCTTATTAAAATAATCTTTTCATCCTGATTTAAGGGTAGTAATCCTGTTAAGGGTTCAGCATTCCTGAGAATTTATCTGCCTCACTATGGGTCCATATGGATAATGCCACCAAATAAAAAGGAGAATCTTTGTAGAGTTGGTTCCTTGTCTAAGAGAGTCCCACAAAGGCTCATCTCCCAGTGTGTAAAATTAATGAGCAGGGGGATGCAGAGTGCCCAGATAACCTACCTGCCACTCTGGTCTGAGGTCCATGTAACTGATCGCCCCTGGGGTTTAGTTCTGTACCATATCCTTATGGCATGAGGAAAGTCAGTAGCTGTCTGAGCTCCTGTCTTCCTGATCTGTAAACTCCAAGTGTCAGTGTCAAACAGGAGTTCCCCACAGCCAGAAGCCTGACTACAGCGAGCGTAATAGTCTAACTGCTCCCTCCAATGATCTGCAGGCAGAGTCACAAGTTCATGTACAATCTGATTCCTAAGCTTCTCAGAAACAGCCGTGAGCTTGGAAAATCTTGTAAATTTTTCAATACCTGGCACAGCAGCAACATCCACCTCCTCAACCTTTAACACAGATAAATCACAGCAGTCCAACACTAGCAAAAAATCCTCACTTCCATGATTCCCTGTGTCACAGCAGTACTTTGAGCCAGAAATCCCAGAAGCCTGTTCCTGGTTGTCATGGTTACCATCATTATCAGAAGTATCTCTTTCACCTTTGCCACAGATGGTAAAATCATTATATCCCATTTTAGATGAGAAAGTCCTAGTATTTGTCACAGGAATATGGCAGGGTTCAGTCATCCTAAATTTGCAGGCTTCATTTGACTGGCAGATTTCCTCAGTGGAACTACTTGGTTTGTTGAATATGTTTTCAGACTCAAAGAAAAGCACTATGGTGCCCTCGATGATTTGGCTTTCTAAATCCACATCGAAATCCAGCACATAATGCTTCACAAGTATGTGGCTGGTATTGGCCATGAGAGGTAGGTCATCTTGGGAAGAGTTCAGCTTTATGTCCATGGTGTAGCTTGCTTTTTAAGAGCTCAGATGAGGTGTTGTATCTGCTTTAATTTCCAGAATCATTAATGGCTACTGACCAAAACACACCTGATGTCACATATTATGGTTCCACAACTTCAGTCCTCTGGCAAAGAAAAACACAATTAGACAAAATTCCAGATAATATCCTAAATGTTCCTGCACCCACTTCTCTTGCAAGTTGACTACCTCCTTAAATACTCCCCCAAGGTGGTAGAAGTTCATGGTTACAAGGCAGACTAATCTTTTTGACTACGTCAAAGAAAGCTCCATTATGGGTTTCTAAAAATATTTCAATTACCAGTGGAATGAAATGGGCCTCCAAAAAGTCAAAAGAATTGTTCTCAAACTAGACCAGCCCTTGTTTTGGGAAAGAGCAATTGTTATGCAAAAGTGTAAGTGAGCATCACTGTGCCTCTTGTCTTAAAAGATATTAAATGCATCAATTCTAATTTTGTGCATCAAAAAAGATAAGTGACTGTTTTTCTACAGTGATTCTCAGTAACAAATGTGAATGAAGGCTAAATGGCCTCATACATTTTATTCTTTGAGAGTAATAATTTAATACATACAATGTAACTCCAGGGATTAATGTACTTTTCACATTAGGACAGCTCTCATATCAGCACTTCCAGTAAATTACAGGAAAATGAGCCAATTTACCAGGAGTGCATTCTAAGTATTCCTTTGAGATTTTTCACAGAGATTTTTCAAATCTATAGTTAAATACTCAAGGTATATCATTACATCTTAATAGCTGAAAATCCATTAACATTCTGGATAATAGCTTTCTTGTGGCAAACAAAAAGGTCTTCTCATTTGAAAAAAAAAAGTATGCAAATACCTATAAAAGGAAGGAGAGAAATTAAGTGTAGAAACAGATGTTATAATAAAATGCACAAGTTCTTCATAAAAGTTCAAAGTCAAAATGTATTCTTATTTTATAATAACAATCCAGCTAAAAGAAAAATTATTAAAAATCATTTCAGACCCTGTTCTGTACCTAATTTCTTTCAGCATATGCAATTGCACTATTATTATTATTATCATCATCATCATCATGATCATTATCATCATCACCTTACCAAAAATGAAAAAGAAATGTCAGGGGAAAAAAAAATTGTATTTCTAACAAACATTACTTTTGTTTGACTTTACAAGTAAAATTGAGCACTCCTATTTTACTGTATTTAACTCCTCCTCACTCCCTTTCTGATTTTATCTGCCTACTAGACTCATTCCCCTTTCTTTTAGACTCACACTTATAATCAAACCTAAGGAATTTTCATTTTCTATTTCTCCTTAGTCTAGTTCCTTATAAAAATCTCACCTCACCCCCCCACAAAAAAAAATTGGCCTGGTTTTCTGACCTAGTATATTCTAGATTCATGCTGCTGTTTCCAATCTTTTTTTTTTTTAAATAATAAATTTTATTTTTATATTCCCCCATACAATTGCAAACGCCCCATTCTGACCCCAATCCCTCCCCTCCCCGCCCCCCACCACCCAAAAAGTGTCTCTGGTTCATAGTTTTTTGTTGATTTTGATTTTCACTTTCTTATAGTTATTCATTTTCCTGGTCCCTTATTTAAGTTTTCTAGATTCCTGCTATGAGTGAGACCATCCGGTATTTTTCTGTTTCTTTTTGGCTTATTTCACTGAGCATGATCCCTTCCCTCGCCATCCATGTTGCTGCAAATTGAATGTGTTTATCTTTTTTGAATGCTGAGTAATATTCCATGGTGTATATGTACCACATCTTCTTGATCCAGTCATCTATTTTTGGGCATTTGGGCTGTTTCCAAAGCTTAGCTATTGTAAATAGTGCTGCTATAAACATAGGGGTGCAGGTGTTCTTTGGAATTGATGTTTCTGTGTCCTTTGGGTAAATACCTAGGAGTGGAATTGCTGGATCATATGGAAGCTCTATGTTTAGTAGGTCCAGAAATCTCCACACAGCTCTCCACAGTGGTTGGACCAGTTTGCACTCCCACCAACAGTGCAGAAGAGTTCCTTTTTCTCCACAACCTCGCCAACATTTGTTGTTGCTAGTTTTTTTAATATGTGCCATTCTCACTGGTGTGAGATGGTATCTCATGGTAGTTTTGATTTGCATTTCCCTGATTACAAGTGATGTTGAACATTTTTTCATATGTCTGTTGGCCATTTGCATTTCCTCTTCAGAGAAGTTTCTTTTTAGCTCTTCTGCCCATTTTTTGACTGGATTATTTTCTTTGTTGTTGCTGAGTCTCATCAGCTCTTTGCAGATTTTTGTGATCAGTCCTTTATCATTAGTGTTGAGTGCAAAAATGTTCTCCCAGTTGGTGGGGTTTCTCTTTGTTTTTGTTATTGTCTCTTTTGCTGTGCAGAAGCTCTTTAATTTGATGTAGTCCCAGCTGTTTATCTTTGCCTTCACTATCACTGCTTTGGGTGATGTGTCTGTAAAGATGTCTTTGATTTGCAAATCCCGTAGTGTTTCGCCTATATTTCCTTCTATGTATTTTATGGTTTCAGGTCTTATGTCTAGTTCTTTAATCCATTTTGAGTTGATTTTTGTGTATGGTCTGAGGTAGTGGTCAAGCTTCATTCTTTCGCATGTAGCGATCCAGTTTTCCCAGCACCATTTATTGAACAAACTTTCTTTGCTCCAATGCATAGTCTTTGCTCCTTTGTCAAAGATTAGTTGACCATAAATCTGTGGGTTTATTTCTGGATTTTCTATTCGATTCCATTGGTCTGTATGTCTGTTCTTGTTCCAATACCATGCAGTTTTGATGATTATGGCTTTGTAGTACAGTTTGAAATCTGGGAATGTGATGCCTCCATTCCCTTCTTTTTTCTCAGGAGAGCTTTGGCTATTCGGGGTTTTTGGTGATTTTATATGAATTTCATCAATAATTGTTCTATTTCTTTGAAGAATGTCATTGAAATTTTGATTGGAATAGCATTGAATCTGTATATTGCTTTTGGTAGGATGGCCATTTTAATAATGTTTATTCTTCCAATCCATGAGCAGGGGATGTCTTTCCATTTCTTTGTGTCTTCTTCTATTTCTTTTAACAGTGTTTTATAGTTTTCTTTGTATAGGTCCTTTACCTCTTTTGTTAGATTTATTCCCAAATATATGATTTTTTTTTGTTTCAATAATAAAAGGGATGGTTTTTTTTATTTCTTCTTCTTCAGATTTATTGTTTGTGTATAGGAAGGCTACTGACTTTTGCGTGTTGATTTTGTATCCTGCCACTTTACTGAATTGATTGATGAGTTGAATTAGTTTTTCTGTGGAGTTTTTGGGGTTCTCTATGTATATTATCATATCATCTGCAAATAGTGATAGTTTGACTTCTTCTTTTCCTATTTGGATTCCTTGGATGTCTTTCTCTTGTCTTATTGCTCTGGCTAGGACTTCCAGTATTATATTGAAAAGCAGTGGTGAGAGTGGACATCCTTGTCTTGCTCCAGATCTTAATGGAATTGCTTTCAGCTTTTCACCATTGAGAATGATACTGGCTGTTGGCTTGTCATAGATGGCCTTTATGATGTTGAGGTATGTTCCTTGTATCCCAAGAATTTCAAGGGCTTTTATCATGAATGCATGTTGCACTTTGTCGAAAGCTTTCTCAGCATCTATTGATATTATCATATGGTTTTTATATTTCTTTTTGTTGATGTGTTGGATAACGTTGATTGATTTTCGGATGTTAAACCATCCTTGTGTCCCTGGAATGAATCCAACTTGGTCGTGGTGAATTATCTTATGGATACATTGTTGGATTCTGATAGCTAAAATTTTATTGAGGATTTTTGCATCAGTGTTCATTAGGGAGATTGGCCTGTAGTTTTCCTTTTTTGTGTTGTCCTTGTTCGGTTTTGGTATTAGTGTAATGTTGGCTTCATAGAACGTGTTTGGTATTGTCCCTTCCTTCTCAATTTTTTGGAAGAGTTTGTGAAGGATAGGCACTAATTCGTCTCTGAATGTTTGGTAGAATTCATTTGTAAATCCATCAGGTCTTAGGCTTTTGTTTTTGGGGAGGTTTTTGATTACCATTTCAATTTCGCTGCTTGTAATTGGTCTGTTTAGGTGTTCTATTTCTTCTTTACTTGTTTCCATATAACTGTTCATAGTAGTTACTGATTATTCTTTTGATTTCTGCTGTGTCCATTGTGATTTCTCCTCTTTCATTTATGATCCTGTTTATTTGTGCTTTCTCCCTTTTTTCCTTTGTGAGCCTGGCTAGGGGTTTGTCTATTTTATTTATTTTTTCAAAGAACCAGCTCTTGGTTTCATTGATCTTTTGGATTGTTTTTTTAGTATCAATTTCATTTATTTCTGCTTTGGTTTTGTTTCCAATCTTAAAGACAGCACTCCCTTTGCATCCTTGACTTCTATCTGAAAGGCCTGCTCACCATCCTGCTTCCCAAAGGTGACTAGGACTATTCCACCATGACTTTTGCATTAAGCCAAGTTCCATAATTAGAGTACAAGAGCACTACTTTCCAAATCCACCTGCAAATTCTATTTTCTCCACACCCAGTTCCAGTACAAATGCAAATGCATCCTGAAATCATTCCTTTTCCCTTCCCTTTCCCCCCATCAAACTGTATGTGACAATATATACTTTGACTTTAAATGTAATAGGAATTAAGAGAAATCAGGAATGCAAAGAAGAATGAGATTACTTTATGGATGAGCTAGTACTCCCTTTGGTCCTAGAAATGTCAATGAGCAAAGGGAATAAGTCTGGGTATTTTCTTTTCTGTGTGTGAGCAATTGAGCTTGTCACGTAATAATAACCTTCAATAAAATCATTGGCTTTATCTATGTAATAAGACGCAACGGATGTTAAAACTTCATCCTGCCGATGTCTGGGGCTACTAACATGCAGTGCTTCACTGACTGTGCTATTTAAAATGAAAAAAAAAAAAAAAAAAAAAGACCACTTGTTTCATTAAAAAAACCCTGACCATATACAGACAAGAGGAAAATCTAAATCAACTGGAATAGGGTAAATTTAGTGACTCTCTAAACTATCATATTTGAAAAGTAGTACAGCATTTGTAACTATATAGAAGTAACCATTCATTGCCCAACCTTGAAAGACACTT